AGCAGCGCTTTCCAAAGCTCAGAGCCTTATACCTGTCATTCTTGAGCTTGGCGCTGGATCACCTTTTCCTGTCCAGTTGTTCAGGCTGCGCGGCCTGCGAGAGGGGTTGATTGATACCGGGAAAGGAATTCAAAGAGTTCCTCTTCGTTCCATTGTCTCTTGAAAGAGCTGCTTCAATTTACAAGTGATGAATGGTGTTTGCATGGGCAAACAACGTCATTCAGTGTAACACTCATGTAGATGCGAGATGTTCAGCAGGCTCTTCCGGCATCCAAGCCTTGGGCAGAAGTCCTGGGCGCCAGCATAGACCGGATTACTTAGGGAAGCCCCATATCACCTAAAGAGGATGCAATGCAGAAATGAGGTGCTTCTATCTAAGAATCCCACTATGCTCATACCAACAGAAGGAACCGTCTCCGAAAAAGAGATGATGCGCCATGAGCTTCCGGGTCTGACCGTTGGGAGTGCTTTCCAGGCTGCCACCGTGTAGGGTTCAACGTTAAGGGTTTCAGGGTTTCAGATTTGTGTTCGAAGGGGTTTAGCCCTCGTCAACATATCCTTCCTTAAGCACCGTGGGTTCGGGGCTTTCACATCTAGGCTCTCTTAGGGTTTAACGGCTTTGGCCTTCACAACCTGTATGGAATCAAATCTATCAACACCCGATTCGGATGTTTTTGGCCCCTGCAGACGTGTGGCAGGGCACCGCAAGTTGGCTTTGGGACTCATCTGCCACCACTCAATCTCCGACACAAAGATATGCTCAAGCCTGAAAGCAAGTAGCCTGCCAGGCCATGTTGCCATTGCGGCAAATCATTACGGCCGAAGCAGAGGCAGGGTCCCAAGGGTCGAAGGCGGGCCACGCACCTCTCCGAACGATCACTAGCATGTCTCATTCCTGGGCTGCCCAAGACCACGTTCAAACTATTCGGGCCCCTAACGCTTGCAGAAGGACACTGCCATTCAACTTGCGAGGGTCGAGAATGTCTAAGGAGGTCAAATCAGCCCACGCAACATCCTGCTACTGGTACCCCAGCTGGTTCTGAACAGCTGTGTTGATCATCTCTGATCCACCCCTGGCAGGCCCCTTGTGGCAGCTTTAAAACATGGTGTGTCAACCTGAAGCCATTTGGAAGTGCTGATCTCTCGGTTGTGTTGCATCTAGCCACTCGCAGCAATGTCGTCCCGCCCGTCCCAGGTGGCTTGGGAGCTTCAAGTTTTCGAATCCCTTCAAGACGTTGAAACTTTAGGGTGTGGGAGTTGGAGTTTATGGCCCCTTGAGGTGCATGGCTGAGATGTTGAATTTGTGAGTTGCTCCGCGAGAATTCGCTTGCGTTTCGGTGTTGTAGGCCCTAGTCCTGAATTCCCTCATCAAAATTACCGCGATAGTCGATGATAGTCGGATAGTTCGCTAGCATCAACCATACTAGAATGATGCCAAGTGCAGGTACCACACAGATACCTGTGGGCCCCAAACTTCAAGCGCAATCAAGGTGTACGGATATGCCCGCGCGGCGCAGGCGGTGACTTGGTAGCTGGTAGCTTCCTTCAGGGAGAACAATCCACAAGGGGTCCAACAAGAAGTCCGGGTAAAGTCTTGTTTGTTGCTTTGCCCTTCTGTGCTCGATTTTTTCTTCCTCAGGAAGAAAAACGCTGGGAACTGCTCAGGAGTCCTTATCTAGCAGTCTGCGGTTGGTATTTTGGGAGAATTTGGAGCCTCATTGCCCAACAAGGTACTGATGTATGGGCTATTTGAATCCCGCTTTTTGCCGATCTTACCATCACAAAACTGTGTGTGTGTGTGTGTCGCATTCCTCATGGCTCGCTGACTGAAACCCCATTCCTTTTGTACTCCTAGGATCCCGGAAAGTCGTTCTAACGCCTCCGTTGTATTGTCCGAATGTGTGTGTGTGTGATCTGTTGTACATACAGGAATGGGGTCA